CCAACTCCAAAAAAAAAAAAAAAAGAACAAAGGGCCCGAGAGCCAGAAACCCAAGAAAGGCTGCTGGGCAGCATGCTCAGAGGGCTCACCGTGAAAATCTCCACGATGTCATTGGATGTGGTACGCACAGGATCCACGTCCTTCTCACTCAGGACTCGCATCAAGCTCACACCATCCGTCTCCAGGATCCACTCCTGCAGGGCCTTGAACTCCCCATCCTCTGTGATGATGATCTTCTTCTTGTTGTCTGTCTGTGGCAAGTGCATGTACACCTGGAGGGGAACAGAGAAGGCACTGGTTGGGGTTGGGAGGCTGGGGAGAAAAGTAGGGAGGGAGGGCTATGGGGGAGGGAATAGCTGACCTTGCTGATCTGCTCAATGCCCTGTAGGGTCATATCTGTCAGCATGTTGGACTCGATGCAGCGCAGAAAAACATCATCATCCATCTTGTCCACCACCTCTTCCTCCTGCAAGGAGAACAAGTTGGCACTCTGAGAATCCTCTGGGCTGTTTCCTGGCTCTGATCCCAAACTATAGCCTCCTCAAGGACCGAAAGAATCAGTCACCAGAATCTGCCCCATTCAGTACCAATGAGACTACTTTTTACCATGATTTTACAATATTAAAAGAAGCCTAAAAACAAGCACCCAATCCTGCCACCCTACCATAATTTCCTTTCTTGCAGTCCTATCTAGCAGCCAAGCCCCACACGTCATGTCCTCCAGTGGCTGCTCCCAGGCACACAGCACTCCCTGCTCTGGCACTTAATGCTTAATGGAGTGATTGCCCAGACTGCTACTGTCATGACAGTAATTTCTCTTAATGGATGCATACTGTATTCCATCAAGATATATCAAACTTTTTTTTTTTTTGAGTTGGAGTCTCACTGTTGCCCAGACTGGAGTGCAGTGGCCGCTCCCGGCCACCGCAGCCTCGACCTGCTGGGCTCCGGCGATCCTTCTGCCTCAGCCTTTCGAGTAGCTGGAATTACAGGCGTGCACTACCACGCCTGGCTAATTTTTTGATTTTATTGTAGAGATGAGGTCTCGCCTGCCCAGGTGGGTCTCGAACCCGTGGGCTCAGGCAATCCACTCATCTCAGCCTCCCAAAGGCATGGGATTACAGGCTGAGCCACTGAGCTCAGCTCAAACTTTTCTTAACTGTCCTCTGACAGCTCAGTAGTTAGTGAGTTCTTCCTAAAGCACCAGGCACCCACATGTGCCAAACAATTTCTTAGGAGCCATGCCCAGGAGTGAAATCGTTGGTTATTCATTTTCATGGGTCTTGTTACACCTGCTGTCACATAACTTTCCCTAGGACACAGCAATTCCTACTGTCCAACCTGCCCCCAACACTGGCGCCTGCCTTCATAGCTGAAGTGTATTGCCTAAGAAAAAACAAGCTGCAGGAGTCTCAGTGGCAGAGAAAGCCAAGTGACAGGGCTATGGGGACTCACTCCCAATCCAACACCACCTGTATTACCTACTTGGCTATTGCTTCAGATTTCAAAACCTTCCGCTGCTGAAAATTTTGAAAATCACTGCTAACCACCAGCCCCTGTTCATAAATTAGGTGGGTACAACTAGTCACCTAATGCTGCTTGTATCTCAATTTCTTTGGTCACTAACAAGACTGAATGGTTTTCTATATCTGATTCATCTATTTCTTCCTGAGCCCCATTTACCTCTTGCATCTTGTTTTCATCACTGTTCATGATGCGAATACGGAGCACCAGCTTCTCTGCATTATCATCATTAAAGATGCAGTTCAGGTCATCACCAAAACCTAGTGGGCACAAGAATGAGCCATGAGAAGGTCCGTGTCTCACAGGACTTACTTCTTGGTCACTGTCCATTTGCAGCCCTCCTCTAGTGGGGCTCTTTTGGCCCCTTCCTTCCCACAGAACCTTCCTTTTCATAGAATCCCTCTAGAAAGAGGGGAGAACACTAACAATGGAAAGGGAACGCAGAGGTGACAGGGAGAATCTGAAGACCAGGGAACAGTGACCCTGGAGAAGAGATGCCTTGGAGGAGCAGAACTGGTACACGGATAGTGAAGGTAGGTGGCTCATTTGGGGCTCAAGTGCAGTGAACAAGACAGAGGTAGGAGCCCAGGTGGGGCTCCTGAGCCCGGCCTGCCCTCCTAGCCTTACCAGCATTGATCTTTTCAGCAATCTGCTCCATAGTCAGCTTCCGGTCAGTCATGTGCTTCCGATCTAGCTCCACCCGCAACAGCCAGGGGGAGATTCGAGCCACATCAAAGTCAGGCATCTCATAGTAAACGTTCACCCACTCCTGATCCTCTGCCACCACCGTGCTCTGGGGGTTGGGGTCATAGTAGATGGCTGTGTTGGCAGTCACCTTTCTCAATGTTGTATGCTCCAGACGGCACAGAATGTCCTGGGAATAGACAGGAATTCATGACACAGGCAACTGGGTAGATCCAAAGGCCTCTTCAAATTCTCCTATCAAGAGACTTCAAAACCCTTTACTTAAAAGTTGATCTTTTCTTCCCAATAGGAAGCCCATCACCCCCAACCCCTACCTTGGCTCTCTCAGCATCTCGAGCAGACTGGCCCAACAGGAACACAGTGAGGGAGGGTGTCTTAGGCTTCTTGGAAATGTTGATGAGCTCCTTAAGACGGGGCACACCCAGTGTCACGTTCTTGGCAGACACACCAGCATAGTGGAAGGTGTTCAAGGTCATCTGGGTGGCAGGTTCTCCAAGGGACTGTGCAGCCAGAGCTCCCACCATTTCCCCAGGATGGGCCTAAGGAAAAGTTAGTATCAGACAAAGCCAGTTCCTCTCCTCTGGTGAATGAGTGGGATGTAGTCAGGGCTGGGACTATAATCTTTTTTTTTTTTTTTTTTTTTTTTTTAGGTGAAGTCTCACTCTGTACCCCAGGCTGGAGTGCAGTGGCATGCTCACAGCCACTGCAGCCTCGACCTGCTGGGCTCAGATGATCTTTCCGCCTCAGCCTTCCAAGTAGCCGGAACTACAGGTGCGTGCTACCACGCCTGGCTAATTTTTTTGATTTATTGTAGAGACGAGGTCTAGCCAAGTTGCCCAGATTGGTCTTGAACCAGTGAGCAGGCAATCCTCACCCTGGTCTCCCAAAGTGCTGGGATTATAGGCATGAGTCAGCATGTCCAGCCCTAGTTTTAGTTTTTGGTTTTTTTTTTGAGTCAGAGTCTCACTCTGTCACCCAGGCTGGAGTGCAGTGGCATGCTCACAACCACTGCAGCCTTGACCTGCTGGAGCTATAGGCACGGGCCACCACTCCTGGCTAATTTTTTTATTTATTGTAGAGATGAGGTCGCCAAATTGCCCAGGTTAGTCTCAAACCCATGGGCTCAGGCAATCCTCTCCCAAAGTGCTGAGATTATAGATGTGAGCCACTGTGCCCAGCCCCATTTTGTTTTAAGTCCAACAATGTTAACATAGGTACTCAACTAACACAATATAGCCTGTTAAATACATAGAGTAATATATAGCCAGGATGTGTTGCCCAGGATGAAGTACAGTGGTACACTCACAGCCACTGCACCCTTGACTTCCTGGGCTCAGGTGATCCTTCTGCCTCAGCCCTCCAAGTAGCTGGAACAACAGGTACCTGCTACCATGGCTGGCTACTTTTTTGATTTATTGTAGAGACAAGGTCTTACCAAGTTGCTCAAGCTGGTCTCGAACCCCAGAGCTCAGTCAACCCTCTCACCTCGGTTTCCCAAAGCGCTGGGATTACAGACTTGAGATACCACACCCAGCCAGCACTTAAATTTTTCAATTCTTAAAACACAGGATGTAAGCTGGCTCGGTGGCTCAGTCTGTAATCCCGCGCCTTGGGAGGCAGAGGTGAGTGGATTGCCTGAGCCCGCGGGTTCGAGACCTGCCTGGGCAACTTGGTGAGACCTCATCTCTACAATACATCAAAAAATTAGCCGGGCGTGGTAGCACACACCTGTAATTCCAGCTACTTGGAAGGCTGAGGCGGAAGGATCACCAGAGCCCAGCAGGTCGAGGCTGCGGTGGCCGGGAACGGCCACTGCACTCCAGTCTGGGCAACAGAATGAGACTCCAACTCAAAAAAATAAAAACAAACAAAAAACACAGGATGTCTTTCCATTTATTCAAGTCTTCTTTAACTTCTTTCAATGCTGCTCTGTAGTGCTCCCTAATACATTTTAAACTTCTTAATTTATAAAACCTGACTTACAGTAAACAGATTCAAAGGCACACCTATAATTATAATGCTTTTTTTCCTTCCATTATTCTGTAAAATCCTTGAAGACATTAAGTATTCCAGTATCTGTAAGTTTCTTTTCTACTTACTCTCTCCAATTTCCCACCTCTATCTAAATTAGGTTCTGCACACAGTAGAGATTTTAGGAAAATAAAGAACAATTATCCTATGTCATATCTGTCATGTCACTTGTTTCCTGAATGACCACTCCCGGCCAACTAGGACTGTTTTAAGACTGCTAGTGTGAAGGCATAAACATGCCAAACACAAGACTTGGTACACAGCAGTTTCTCAGTGAATGAGAGTTATCATTAGGTAATTGTGGCAAGACGTAAGCTGTTCTTAGAATCCAGAAATGTCAGTAGGTAAAAGGAAAAAAACGAGGCTGGTTGGGAACACAACACTCACAATGGCTTGGTTAAACTTGGACTCTATCTCCCCAAGCAGCCAGTCAAAGGCCTCTCCACTGAGCCGAAACTCTTCTGCCATGCGGCGTGAACACAGTGTGGATCGCAAGTGGATGTTGAAGAGCAATGTGGCATTTTCCTGGGCCTGCCGGCTTAGTGGGTCATCCCCATTCACAATCACCAGCTTCTTGCTCAATTCCTTCACTCCTGGTGGCCAAATGAAGTTCCAGAGATGGTCAGACCAGGGGCCAGCAGACTCCTATCCTCCAACCTGGCCTGGAGACCCCAAAGCAGGTACTCACCCTCTACTACTTTGATGGGGTGCAGATCAGAGGGAAGGCGAGGGTTGATGTGGAAAATTTTCTGAGCATTCCAGATCATGCGCAGCAGGTTACAGGGAAGGACAACCTGAGGGACAAGAGAATGGAAGGAGGCCTGTGAATCTGGGGAAAGCCACGCAGGGGAGCACTTCTTCAGCATAGCACTCCCCTAACCACACGCACCTTGCTGTCGCCAGTGGGGAAGATGACCCTGAGCACTTCGCGATCCTCACGCATGCGCTCAAACTCCCGCTCCAACTCGTTCTGTATGTGTGCATTGCTTAGCACATCCTTCACCAGATCCTCCTGCAGAGTGCGCCGCAGGGCCCTCTCATTGGTATAATCAAAGCGGAACCTATAGGTGGCAAAGGGTAGGGTCAGTGGAAGGTGGGCTCTGGGGTCTGATCCCCACAAGGAGAACTGTGAAGCTCCCAAGGTACATAGCCCATCAGGTACACTTTGGAGACAAAGATCCTGAGCAGGGAAATACAAGATCTAGGCCTAACGACTGCCATTGGGACCTGAGTATGTGCCCGCCCTCTACATTTTCTTTGAACCATGCCCAGGGACCAATCTCAAATCTGCCTCCATTCACTCACTTTCCCATATCTCATGGCTATTTCAGGTGGGTGGGGAAAGGGCACTTAAAGGTAAGGTCCACTGCAAGACACATTCCAGACCATCTCTCTGGGGTGGGGATGGGAATCCTACAACTCAAGCCCTGAGCCTCCCCCTGCCTGCCCGCCTCCTCACTTCTTCTCAAAAGCCTTGTTGGAAGGCTTAAGCGTAGCCAGGTTCTGGAACTCAACGCTCTCGCCTGCCAGGCCATCCTCGCCGTAGCGCAGCTGCACCACCTGGTTGATAGAGTTCCGCACAGTCGCATCGTACTTCACCATCACTGATTCCATGGACTTGATCAGCCGCCGCTGAATGTATCCTGGGGGGAGGTAAGTAATTGTAGCACCCAAGTCAAGAAGAAGATGATAAAGCCCAAAGGCCCAGTCTGAGGTCTTAACCCGACTGATTTCCAGAAAAGCCAGCTAGTAGCCTCCTCGTCCCTGAGGCCTTTTAAAGAAAACCATGTCCAGCACTAGATGGAGGAAGAGCCCAACAGAGTCCTCTAGGAACCACTCCCCATGCGATAGGTCAGAGGCAGAGTTCCTGAGGCTCTATCCCTGCATCCTGGAATGCTGTATAGCAATCAGAGCAAGGGCATCTGCTTAATTCTCTATTCCCTATTCTTCCCACAGAGGACAAAATTACATCTCTGGGAACAGAAGCCTTTAGTCTGAGAATCTCCATTCCCCACCTCTCACAGGTTTCACAGCCTGCAGCATTCCTTGGTTTCAGTCCATGAGAGAGAGAGCCCCTAAAGAAGTCCTACCAGTTTCAGCAGTCTTGACAGCTGTGTCGATAAGCCCCTCACGACCCCCCATGGCATGGAAGAAGAACTCGGTGGGTGTGAGGCCAGCCAGGTAGGAGTTTTCCACAAAGCCACGGCTCTCAGGCCCATAGTCATCTTTGATGAAGTGAGGCAGAGTCCGGTGCTTGAATCCAAATGGAATTCGCTTGCCCTCCACATTCTGCTGCCCGACAACAGCAATGACCTGGGAAACAGAAAAGGTGGGGTGTATAATTCCTTTGCCTTAAGTATAAGAATTCCCAAGACTTCCCCTAATTTCCCACCCCAACACATACATACACCTTCCTTCCACCTCCCAAACTTCAATATGGCCCCATATCTAGAAAGACAAGGCTCCTCACCTGGGAAATGTTGATCTTGGAACCTTTAGCTCCAGACACAACCATAGACTTGAAGTTGTTGTATTCAGACAGGGATTTCTGAGCAGAGGAACCAGTCTTGTCTCGAGCATCATTGAGAATGCGGTTCACCTGATTCTCAAATGTCTGCCGCAGAGTGTTCCCTGGGGTGGGCTCCAGTTCGTTGTTATGAGCCTTCTCAATGACCTACAGGCAAGAGTTCTCAGTGAGATATCAATCCCTACTCTACTCCCTTTCCCTCAAACCTCACACCCACTTTACTCTTGGTGATGTTAAGTTCAAAATCCCTGAGAGCCCCATATTCAGTCTCTGCCAGCCTTCCCTCTCACCTCTATTACATCCTGTTTGGCCTTCTTAATAGTGTTCTGAATGTCCTGGTAAGTCTTAGAATCAGCGATGGAGTCCCCAATGCCAATGGTATGACCTAGAGTTAAGGAAAAGCATCAGCAACACCCTCTTTGGACTCCTAAGAAACATGGGACGGCAAAGCACATGAGAATGTGGGTTAAAAAAAACTTTTTTTTTTTGAGTTGGAGTCTCACTCTGTCACCCAGACTGGAATGCAGTGGCACACTCCTGGCCACCGCAGCCTCGACTTGCTGGGCTGCAGTGATCCTTCCGCTTCAGCCTTCCAAGTAGCTGCAACTACAGGCGTGCGCTACCTCGCCCGGCTAATTTTTTGACTTTATTTTTTTTTTTTTTTGAGTTGGAGTTTTACTCCGTCGCCCAGACTGGAGTGCAGTGGCCGCTCTCGGCCACCGCAGCCTCTACCCACTGGGCTCCGGCGATCCTTCTGCCCAGCCTTCCGAGTAGATGGAACTACAGGTGTGCACTACCACGCCCGGCTCATTTTTGATTTATTGTAGAGATGAGGTCTTGCCAAGTTGCCCAGATGAGTCTCGAACCCACAAGCTCAGGCAATCCACTCACCTCGGCCTCTCAAAGTGCTGAGATTGCAGGCTGAGCCACCAAGCCCGGCCAAAAAAAACTTTTAAAATAAAGAATAAAAATTAAAAAAGAGCCAGGCTCGGTGGCTCAGCCTGTAATCCCGCACTTTGGGAGGCTGAGATGAGCGGATTGCCAGAGCCTGCGGGTTCGAGACCTGCATGGGC